CTACCTTGCGTTGTTTCTGAGTAAAGAATTTTTGAAGAAAACGTGTCTTGAAGGCAAAAGTTCGCTTTAAAACTGCAGAAACTCCTAGACATTTTACCAACCAGTTATAAATAAGCCTCTATTTSTCCATCCAGCAGTGTSATCAACCCTTTTCTGTCTTGTGAGACGCTTYACAGATGCGAAAGWCGCTTGCYWKAMMAGACTCTTGAWTTTTTTTCGATCCGRTCGATTCGCAGCTTTTTAAATAAAAACACCTGATTTCTCTATCGGATAGAGTTTTCGAGWTCGGRCAGGCTTTTTACTACCTTGTGTGGTTTCTGAGTAAAGAATTTTCCAAGAAAAYGTGAATTGAAGGTGAAAGGATTGCCTTAAAACTGCAAAAGATCTTGCATATTTCAGAATTTTTAATTTTTTCTATTGGCCAGTGTGGTTTCTATTTTCTGAGGCTTMTCAGTGCTGAATGCTTGAATAAGGCGCCTTTTGAARGCGAAAGTRACTTTTAAAACTGTTGGAAACTCTKAGAAGTYTTACTCTCTGTGGAATGGASTCAAATACTTTTAGCTACCTTGCRGGGTTTCTGAGTAAACAAGTAAATCAAACTTTACCCTGCTGGAAGTTGTTAAAAGGTTTTCYATTGCACYAGTTTYTAATGAGRAAAACACTTCATTGSCYTGTATGGTATCTTGTGCGACTTCTGAGCTACGAAATTTTATAGAAAATGCGTTGGTTGRAAGCAAAAGTCCGCGTTGCAGATTCCTCTGAGCGTTTTTAAGAGAGTTTTTAGCTCTTGCTGWAAGTCGCCACTTTATATTTTAGAGGCAAAGTTACAAGTCCCTTGAAACACGCCTCSAGACGAAGTTATCAATTACCTGAACTCTCAGCTATTTTTCTGTTGCCTTGTCAATGAAGAAGGAGACCCTCCAAACCAATCAGAKTAAATGACATTATCAAGCCATTAAACCATCAGATTGCTCAGTTATTTTTTCTGTCCGAATGGTTTTTCTCATTAATCCCGATTCAACACATTCAYTGTGTGAATCCCGTCCGATTGCGACAGCCAGATCAATTTTGAGGTCGAGCTGTATAACTCAATTTGCCGGGAAATTTGCGCCAATAATCTAGATTGGAATATCAACATTTTTTTCATAGCGGAATAAATCGGGAGGCGGCGATGATCGATCGATACCTTTTGCTGCCGGCTAATTTGCAACAGCAATTTTCCACAAAAATGTGTTTTAGGAAATGCGCTGTTTTCACCACAAAGAGTATCGATATATCGGCATTGAATGTGAGTTTATCAAACATGTATCATCCGCATTGTGGCTGAGTTTTATTCTAGTTGACTCTGTGACAGAGTTCTGAGGTGAAAACCTGATGATGATTTGGTGCAAAAGTGGATAATTTTCGGTTAGTTTAGATCACAAAACCCAGACAGGGACGATTCGGTTTGTATTTGGTTAGATTCTGAATCATCATGAGTTCAGAATTTTTGTAGTTGAGGTAAAACGAATCTTTTTACAAAAGCGAAAAATGAAAAGTTTGACCACAGAATTAATTAATTAATGAATTTCTTTCTGAATGTATCAGAGCAAACGTGCATGAAATAATAATGTGAACCATGAAGGACTATTTAATTAAAAGCCTTTTATTAACAGGAACAATATTGACTTCTGCTCGGAACGAGCAAATTATTATTAAATACATTTGCCATCATTAAAATGCAATTTTGATACACGCGCAGTGCAATTCAATGACTATTGGAGAAAATTTAAATTTGGCATGATTTTAACGCAATTTTCCTTTGCAGGCCGTCGCTTGTCTGCATGGCTGCTCATCGGGCCGCATGAGGTTCCATTCATATTGCTCGAGGCCTTTGCATTAGGTGTTTGAATACTGCTTTGTTTTGCCAGGATTAAATAATGATTTGTTGTTGATTTCGCCCAATGTGGTCGCAAAGATTTCCCTTAAGTAAGGCCTAAATTCCTCATGAAAAATTCCATCCGTTTTCAAGAAAAATTGCGCTCGCGGTCTTAGTTGGGCTTAAAAGCTTTAGAAAAACTGATTTTCGTGCAAACGTCTGTAGTGACGAAGATCTAGTTGCAATGGACTGTTGCGAGTAAAAAAGAATGAGTGGAAAATGTCACGCAACTGCAAACTCCCAAAAGTAGCCCTAAAATCCAGGATGAAATCGACACGAAACTGCAATTTGCAAAGACAGAGAAGTCGCAGAAGGATTTACAGATAAAAATGCAGAAAACCCAAGTCAAAGACGACCAGCAAGCTGAACTATTCTGGATTCTTTGGTACAAAATCAGACATTATCTCTTTTGTATGTGTTTTTCAAAATTCAATAATTTTGGATAATAAGCGGAAAAGTTGACGGTCTTCCTTGCCCTTAACTCGTTCTTAAATGCTTTTAATTAAAATTTGTTGCAAAAACATTGCTTTAATCAAAACAGCCAAACAATGAAGGGAACTCATCATCATTCATTTTTCAATAGTTTCTATTAGTTTCAAAAATCGAAAGTCTCTCGGAAAAAAGATCGCTTCAATTATCCGCATTGTTTCTTTGAAATAATTAAGCCTCAATTGATATTGTAATATACCGGGTGATTCAGGTTTATTCTTGATAACTTTTTTCAAACTCGATTTCATTAAATATCTCACACAATGTGAAAAAATAACAAAAGGCCAAAAAGTTTGCACTGTGGAACCGGTTTATTGAAATTGAAAAAGTGTTTGTATGCTGAATTTCCCTACAATCGGATGAAAGATTCAAAACTTATGAAACCCAAACCAGAAAAAAAAAGTTTTTCACGCTCTGTCTGAAATGATGCGACTTAGGGAGATTTTGCCATCACATATTCTATTGATTCCCGAAATTATCAAGATTAAACCAGAAACGCCCTGAATAAAGCAATATTTTCAGAACTGCAGTCCGTCGTTTTTTTATTATAAGACTTTGCAGTTTCACTCTCACAAGTTCCCAAGAAAATAGCACTATTTTCATCCTCCCTTTCAGTAGATTCAATCAGAGTAACCATCTTGAGTAGGAAAATGCAAGTTTCTGAAGATAAAGCTTCTGAAGAGCTTCAGCTTGAAGAGCCAACATTCCATTTGAAGCGCCGATCTTCTGAAGAACCAAATAGAAAGAACATTTTGAAAGGTTAGCTTTTATAAGTAATAATGCAAAAATGTATCAAGATGAGTTATTATTGATTAACCATCTTTATTTTTTAGTCGTATTTGCCTTACCTTTAAGCATCAGCGAATGCTTCTTGAAGCTGACCCAAGGTGAAAATAATGCGCCAAACATATTGAAAATTAGTTTATTTTTTAAAAACAGTGGCACTTTACTACTGGAAGCTCGAAAAGTAACAGTAATTTTTCCAGTTAAATACTTTGCAACTTGCCAGCTCCCAGCAGTAGAGCGTGAAGACAATATTTATAAAACATGTCTATGCTTACGAGGCGTTCGAAGTCGCATCCGCATAACCTCCAGGTTTACACCAACTCTAGAGCATGCAGAAGTGTATTCATATGGGGTAGGTCTTATAATTAAGCATGACAAAGGCCGTTTGAGCTGAAGACGCTTGTATAGATGCTAGTTTTCATAAATCCTTTCCAGATCTTGGAACTTTTGGTCCTTCACACCGGAAAAAATCGGTTGATTTCGATCATGCAAAACCGCGCCTCCACACTACGTTAATCGGAAATATGACTAGGAAGTATCACTGATCGTAATTTATTTAAGAGGTCTAAGTGTGAGTCCTTTCGAACGAACCCTCGATGCGGGCCGAACGCAAAAATTGTCGGGGTTGTCGTCTCTTGTAGGGCTCCCAATCGGCGGCGTTCAGCGTGTGTCAGTGCGTCACTATCACATCGGGGGCTGATTTGGTGGTTTGCACGCTGTACCTGAAACAACAAAAACATTTAACATTAACCCTTAGAATTTAGGCAAGAATTAACAAGCGCACAGTCGAGTGTGATCAAAACTTTCAAGTTGAGGCATTTGCAAAAATTCCTCCGTCCACACCAGAGCAAGTAAACACTCCTAGTCGAAATTTTCATGAAAATCCAGCAAAAGACTTGTTTACTCAAGATTCGATTCTGAAGAAGGAAAACCGCATCTCTAATTCCAGAACGTAGCGCGCATCGGTAATCTCTCTCGCACCCATGGAGTGCATGGGCGGCGCTGGACCGCCTGTGCGTTGCTACGTTCCAAACTGATACCTTCACAGCTAAAATTTTCTCAGTTTTGACCGCGCAAAGTTGGCAGTGCAACATAAAGATGAAACCACTACTGATCATGCGACTCGGATACCAAGATCCGGCAGGGGAGGATCACAATTAGACTGTCAGGCCTCCCAGGGGGAAAGCCCGACAACATGAGAAACAGAACAAAAATAGTAATAAAAATAAAACGAATAGGCTAAATATAGACATTATGGGCGTCAGTGAGACCCACTGGCCCAACTCTGGACAATGCAAGATACTTGACCACACAGTATATATATATATAATAATAGGAAATACAACTGGCGATGATAACAACTCACAACATAGGAACGAAGTGGGCATAGTTGTTTCCCCACGTATCCAACCAACGGTTAGATCCTTCTTAATTATTCTCTTAGTTAGACGACGCCGTTATTGACGAATTCTATGAACAACTAGAACGTTTGATTAAGATGGCGAACAAACAGGAGATAACCATCATAATGGGCGTGTGCCAGGCACCACAAGGGATTTCGGACTCGGTGAAAGAAACGAAAGAGGAGACCATCTTATACAGTTCTGCCAGGATCATAACTTACTACTCAGTAACACTTTATTCAAACTCTCCCCTCGCAGAATCTATACGTTGAAATCGCCAGCAGGCTCTGCGGAAAAAATTGTTAGAAATCAAATTGACTATATAGCTATACCCAACAGATTCAAAAACTCAATAAGATCTGCAAAAACCTATCCTGGATCAGATGTAACCCTCCAAGAACAACATAGACATAGGGAAACTGTCCGATAGAAATATTCGGAAACAAGTGCAGGAATTGCTGACTAACGATTTAAAGAAAATCAACAACAACACGAGTAAAGCACAAGGCAAATGGGATAAATTCGAAAACTCTATACAAGCAAATTGTGAAAAACATTTGCAAAAGGATAAAAACAAAAAACAAGAGTGGATGGCACAAGAGATCCTCGACATGACGGACGAAAGACGGAAACACGAAGGTAAATACAACACAAAGTACCGTGAAATTCACAAAAACATACGGAAAAACATTAGAGAGGCAAAGGAAAAATGGTTCTCTGAAAAATGTGACAAGATAGAGCAATATGAAGTGAAGTACGACTACCGCAATATGCATAAGGAAATAAGGGAAATGACAACAAAGAAAATAAACAACAGAAACACGTCCATATTGGACACTAACGATAATATTATTTCGGAACCATCAAAATGTCTAGAGGTATGGAAATCATATGTCGAACTCCTCTTTGCTTCGGAACGATCTAAAGAACACAATATGAATGAGATAGATACGGAACCCCCAATTATGAAATCCGAAACTGAAAAAGCTAGTTTATCTCTCAAGAACGACAAAGCTCCTGGACCTGATAGCATTCAAGTAGAAATACTAAAACTTATGTGCGAAACTGATAATCAATTTCTCGATATCCTCACGAGTCTATCTGATGATATCTATAATAGAGGCGAATTACCCAAAGAATGGCTTGAATCAACCTTCATCGCAGTGCCGAAAAAACAAAACGCAAAAACCTGTGATCAACACCGACTCATCAGCCTCATCAATCATATTACAAAAGTCTTCACGAAAATAATCCCCAACAGAATATACAATAAATGTGAAGAAAACATCAGTGAATCCCAATTTGGATTTCGGAATGCCCTTGGGACAAGAGAAGCTATCTTTAGTCTACAAGTTCTTATCCAACGATGTAGAGATGTCAACAAAAAAGTCTTAGTTTGTTTTATCGACTTTGCCAAAGCGTTTGACAGCGTAGACCATGAGCTATTACTAAAGATCATCGAAAATACCGGCATCGATAATAAAGATATCCACATAATAGCAAACATGTATTGGGGACAAACCGCTAAGATAAAGCTGAACAACCGGTATTCTGACAACATAGAAATAGAGAAAGGAGTGAGGCAGGGCTGCATCCTGTCTCCGCTCCTCTTCAATATATACTCGGAAAACGCATTTGGAAAAGCGTTGGAGGAGGCAACAGAGGGTGTACAGATAAATGGAGAGTGGATTAACGATGTGCGATATGCTGATGATACAGTCATACTAGCCAACAACATAGACGAATTGCAGCGCGTCATGGAAAGAATACAGAAAGTGAGTGCAGACCACGGTCTTAACCTAAATATATCAAAAACAAAGTGGATGGTGGTGAGCAAAGATCAGACACACAATGAGCGCATTACACTAAAAGACCAGACGATCGAACGTGTGGAGTCATACAAGTACCACCGAGATCCGATCAAGGATTGAAAGAGCTCGAGCATCGTTCAACAACATGAGGGGTGTATTCACAAGCAAGGGTCTATCCCTGCCTCTAAAAATAAGATTGGCAAAGTGCTATGTGTTCCCAATTCTGCTAAAAAAATTAAACGCCTTTGAAATGTGGATATACCGCTGTATCCTCAGAATCTCGTGGACTGACCACAAAACTAATAAAGAGGTGCTGCAGCGAATTGGGAAAGAGAGACAAATTACACTCACAGTTAAAAAGAGGAAACTGTAATACCTCGGACACATAATGAGACATCAAAAATGTCGTCTACTCCAGTTAATAGCTCAAGGAAGGATCAACAGTAGAAGAGGACCAGGAAGGAGAAGACACTCATGGCTACAAAATAGTGGTTTGGACTTACATCTATACAGCTATTTAGAAATGCCGTCAATAAAATTAAAATTGCCATGTTGATTGATAGCCAACGTCCGCGACGGACAAGGCACGCTAAGAAGAAAGTTAGACATTTTATGCATATTTCCAATTTAGAGTTCATTACACAAAAGGAGAAACTTTGAGCGAGTTTTTCCCAATTTCACACTCTAAAAAATATGTTTGCCAAATGATTCGAGCTAGGAATTTCTGTTTCCTATTCCAGTTTTCTTGCTGTCCAACGCCCTTCAGGCTGTATCTGATCCATATCAAGATTATATCCAGACTTCTGAAGTTGAGTCACTAAATTGCGTTGAGTTTTTTGAGGAAAAATCGCCGGTTTTCACACTGTTTTGCCTATAAGTTTCCCAAACACCTCCAGAGTGACCACAATTTAAAACAGTTCATAGAAGCAAGCGTGCAAACTGGGGCAGCATTTTTTGAGGCTTCCGACTTGAAGCAACGAAGAACGACATGTCAGACGGTCAGAGAAGCAGACTTGTTTTACCAATACTAACCTTTTATCATACTTGGACGACGGTGTCAAAGACTTATCGTGATGCATTTCAATCTTGGCCTCCGCTTTGAATTTGTTGCTGTCCTTCCTGTTGTAGCCGAAAGTGCTGAATGGCGCCGGCGGAGAGTTCGTGTGCACACTATTGTTCGGCGTGCTGTTTCCCGAACTGTATCTGGAACAAGCGACGATTTAGACGCTAGAAAAAAAATGCTCAACTACACTAGACAGACACTAGTTCGGACTATGTAGACGGCTAGTAGTAGGAGACCCATACATACATAATATCCTACTTACTCCTGAGTGGTAAAGAGGCTTTCGCGTGTTTGGCAGGCGCTGTCGCACATCTTCGGGACCTCCTCATTGTCCACCGTATAAATGTCCTGATTGTACATGCTGCCGTTAGACGGCACCGAATGGGAATTCTTGATTAAAATCGGTAAAATATCTTCCCCGGGGACGTAGCAGGGTGTAGTGGCCGAATCGGACGGGCCGAATCTCGTCGACTCTATTGAGGGCGTCCTGTGAGGTCCGCTGTGGCCTTTGGACGATCTTTTGTCCTCCTCATTATCCTTATCTAGTTGTTCCCTGCTGCGCTTAAATTCCTGCAAGTAACCGATAAAACTGAATGGGGGATTTTCCATCAATGGGACCGCATGTGCGTATAAAGACGTTGATATTGGCAATATCAGAAAATTGAAGAGGAAGTTTTGCAAAAAGCAGCAGGGTTCCACTGGATTCTCAAGCAAATTCACCTGCAGTTGATCCAGGTGGGCAACCAAGTGAAAAAATGAAGTCAAACTCTGAAGAATCAACATCAACACAAGAAATAGAGGTTTGTCAAACAGAAATAAAAAAATGGAATAAATCTGTGCAACAAATAATAATACTGATAGTTGAGACTTTCGCTGCCATTTTTTGTACAAACGATTGAGCTTCTTCATCTGCACCAAATTCCTATCGACCTGGGCCTAAAAGTCGGAAAAAAAACCAAAATTTCTGCAAAACTCCCAAGTATTTCAAGATTCGATTGTACATGAATAAAACCGAATTTCTCAGTGTAGAACGTAGCGCGCCTCGGATCTCTCGCTCGCACCCATGGAGTGTATGAGCGGTGGTCGATCGCCTGTGCGTCGCTACGTTCCAAACTGCTACCATCACAGCTAAAATTTTCTCAGTTTGGACCGCAGAAAGCTGGCCATTTTTAACCATATTTTCAAGTAGATTTAAAAAGAGGTTCGATGTGCTGAACTCTTTTCACTATTAATAAAACTGCAGTGCCCTCAAAGCAATGGATGTCGTCGGGTTGGGAACTAAAAGAAGATAAACGGGGGAAAATAAAGACACTTAACATACTGGTTCTTCTGAGGAAACCGTTATGCAACTGTGAATGGAATGAGGAAAACCTGAATAGCATTAATGTAAAGGTTTGAGGAAGATTTAAAGCCAGCAAAGTAGTAAAAGATCCCATAAAAAAACGTCTAGCAAATTCATTGAAAACGAGTGTAAAAATAAAGCGAGCTCAAGGAATGGTACAGAACACCCATTTGAATAGGAAAATTATGAAAAATAACGGACACTCGAGGTGCGCCAAGAAAGAGGCCAAGAATTTACATAGAAAAAAATGAAAGCAGACATTGGAAGGAGTTTGAGAAAGGAATTTAGATATATTTGAACCAAGAGAAAGTAGAAGGAAAGAAGAAAACGAGCAAAAAACATTAACGACAGTTGAGTAGAAGAGACCCATACATACAGCTGCTACTACAATAAAAAGAAAAAGGATTATAAACAGAAATGAATGTAAAAGCTTGCGCCGCCAGCGATGATTTTCGGGCTGATAAGAATTTGGCCTGACGTTTCGCTGGCACGCATCGCATATATCTTCAGAGTAATGTTCTCTCTCTTCGGGCGACACAGTACAACATTCAGTTTCCCATTAAGCCTTCTTCAGTTCTCCATTAATCGCTCTTGTTGTTACGATTTGAAAACATCAGAGTTTTCTGATCTGAATAGGGCTTTCCTCATTAAGTCGTCCCGCGGTCAGCGTATCCTCTTTATTATTCAAAAATAAAACCCCTTCCAGAATGAAAGTTCGCATTGTCGGGGTTGCCGCGCATAAACCTAATTTCGTAAAAATTAAGCAAGATTCAGAACGCGACGCATTAATCAAAATTAAGCCGGTAATAACCCGACCAGAATGGAAAAGTTTAATTTGAAAAGCTTTATTTGGTGCACGAAGTGCGATCCAGCCATCAATTTTTATTAGCGCTCGTCATTAGAGCGATTTATTTCCATATTGCTTTTCAATTTTTTGCGAAAGTGTCTTAAAACAGTTTCGGTGTAGCGGCGTAACTCTTTTTTCGCTGGATTGGAGGCAAATTCATTTTTATTTCCATACATTAAGTTCAACTCTTAAAGATTATTATCCACTGGGGCCGACGACTTTTCACAATTAGCGAGAAAATTGGCAAATGTGCATTACTATTGGGGAGCTAAACGTTAAGAAACTTGCAGGTTGCAACATTTCACATCGGCAACCACGCTTGGGGCACATAGAAGTTGACGAATGTCATTGTGACGTCTCAGTGCATTTGAGGTTAGTTTTTCAAGTGTGCCCTTCAGAGCTTTAACTGTATAACCATGCATAAAGGAAAGTTTCCCTTGCATCTTTATTAAATAAAAACTTGCGATCAGTAGCTGGGTCGAAAAATAATGAGATTTGATTCAATTGGAAAGGAAATCGTCGCCTTCTTAGCGACCGAATTCTTTGATAGATCGGAAATTTATTGCTGTTAAAATTTTGTTCATTACTTTACTTCGAACCAATTAAGCTCCCTAATGACTTCTAGGGAAAGCGCGATCGATTTTGTCGCCCTTACGCTTTCAGTAATTGAAGATATGGGCAAAATTAGCGAACCGTTTCGATTAAATTAAGATACGGTATTGCTGTTTAATTATCGCGGGATTCTATTGGCCAACGGTGGCCCTCAGAATCGTGTCACTTCCTTCGAAAAATTTAATTTAAACGCGTTGAAGTTTCCGGGTTTTTTGCAGGCTGAATGAAAAGCGGAATTCCTCTTGCAGCTAGTTTCCACTCGGGTCGTTTTTCCAGCCATAAGGGATTTTTAAATTGTGGCCGCTGCGTGTTGGTCATTTTATCATTTCAGAAATTCACGGTCGAAATGACCGATTCTTTCCACCAGTCTGGGTCGCTGGTAATGGAAATATTACCCTAGCAAATCATAAAGTATGACCTAGAATATGCGCGCAAAGCTATAGAGATGAATCTTTTTGCTTCAAAACACCCAAAGAAAATGCAAATCTATATGGAAAAAAGTCGCATTTAAATAGGGTTACAGAAAACGTTCAAAAAATGGTATTGAAGACAGAAAAGCCTCTGCTTAACTACTAAAAGTCCACTGCGAAAAAATCCAGCTACGCTTTTGCAGTTTGTTTTCACATTATTAAACCTCGGCTGAACACCCACATTGAATAAAGGAAAATAATCGGTCAGCAATATTTCGTGTCCCATCTGAATGAATAGTCAAAATTCATTAAAACCCTCCTATCAGAGTCATCAATTCGCGCCCCCTCAATGCGAAAAATCTATTGCAAACGGCATAAAATAAATTGGATGAAACGAATTACAAGCCTTTCAGCCAATTTCATACGTCCTCAAAGCAAAACCCGTTCAAATATTTACAGACTGTCCAGTTTTTATGTGTCTAGACTTCATTTTCCGCATAATTAAAGCCCTGTTAACTGTAAGCGTGTGTTTGATTGCAACAATGTTTTGTCAATTGTTTAGGTACCTTTATTGTCTGGTGGTCCCTGACTAGCTTCTTAATGCAGTTGTAGATAAACGTGAAAAACATTCCGGTTAATATAAGGGAGAAGATCACCATGATTATCACAATGTGGTCGTCAGTCAGTGCCCATGATTCGCTGCCCTAAAAAAATGGAACCAACTTTAAATAATTGAAAATCGGGGGTTCAAGAGTTTTTGGAAATGAGAGCAATTTTTCTGTATTTTCATTCGTTTGGTTTGTCCACGATTCAGCATGCTCCGCTGGCTGCTGGGAGAGAATATTGTGCACTTTTCCTTCGTTTCTCTGATTTTTGCCCTTATGGTTGTGTTTCCTAGCCTTCTGTTTTTAGCAGGCGTTTAAGTAAAGAACTGGAAAATTTTAGGAATTTTAAACACCCGTTGAACCCATGTTTCCTTGCTGTTTCATACTATGCCCTGAATCCCCTTACAACAGCGTAAACTGTTCGGTAAGCAGCAGCTTTACTGCTTACCAAAAGTGATATTTGTCGGTAGCTTTAACTCGACGACTTCCTACTTAATCAAGGAGTTTCCTTTACTCTGTCTTGTTAGAAAAGCACCTGAATTAAATCATTTTAGGAATGGCGCTTGTTAAATGGCAATTATTTCGCGAAACTACTTCAAACAAAATTTATACATTCAAGACGTGAAATCTCGGGTTGTCTTAAACAAAGGGAAGAGATTAGGCCGCCTCTAACTTTACGTTTTAAGCTCTTACTTAGATGCGGAGCAGCGCAGCTGCGAATACAAATAGAGTTAAAATGCGAGGACCCCGACTGAGTGGCTAGCAAAGGTGCTACAGCAAGCTACTGATGTTTCACATTTTCTCCCAGTTTGTCCGTTTTATTAAAAAATCTTCTTCAATCTTCAGGCAATAATTATTTCAATTATGAAATGTATAGAAGAGCCTCTCAACACAACAAATTAAACACGAGACACTTTGTTGATATGACCTGCTACGTCACAATCGGGATAGGCAACCGACGATACGGATTCGGCGTTTTTGACGGAAATATCTGATTTGAATTTAAATTCGCTTTAAAATTATTATGGAGACTTTTTTTTGCAAAAAAAACTAAATCAGTGTAATATTTGGCATAACTACTTTCTATATATCAACATAACAAAAGTGAAAACACCGTATTTCAAACGTGCAAGCGACAAAACACCCGGACAATGTGAGCCGATCTCCGAAAGATTCGCATCAATCATGATTTTTTAATTTAGTCAAGTCTTCCTGATTCGCTGATCAGCCCGTGATTTATGAGGCCAGTTTGGATATTTGCCAACACCAATAGGTTGATCCCGAATTTAGTCCAAAAATGAGAAAAACTGATGCGAGTTTGGTAAATTGAGTGCGAACGCCGAAGAGAAAAGTTCGAAGGCCGCCGACGACATGGATCGTTAACCCAAATAATTTGAAAAGTTTGGACGACGAAAACACGTTTTGCCGTGTTCTATTTGTGGCGGAAAACTTGAACTTGTTTTCGCGACATTACAAAAGCGACCGCAAAATGACTATGTAAGTACGGGATGCATTAAAAACTTTTCATAATTTAAGTTTAGCCCAGTTTGGGGCGGATTGAGGATGGATGGCCCGTCATTGACAGGAAATTTTGCACATTCATTGGAGAATCTTTTTGGGTTAGTTATGCACTAAAGTTTAGCGTTTTGGATGCTGAGCTGCAAATATTAGACCGTTATTTTCCGCTTTTTTGTTCGCTTTTCCTGAAAAATCAATAGAGAAAACACGAATTAACGAGAATCCAAAAATTGCCCGTTTTTTGACGAGTTTAATTTTGGGAAAATTTTCGATTTGCAGGCTTTTGACGATTCTAAGGAAAAAATATGGCCAAAAGTAATTGGAAAATTTTTCGAAAATCGCCCATCATCAAGCTTTAATGTTGCTCTAAATAGAATTTTATATCTAAATTTTGACTTCCGTTCGACAATCGAAGGAAAAATTTATAAAATTGACCATTTTTGGTGAAATTTTCAATCGGCAGGCCTTGGACTGGACAAAACAATCAATATCGCCGAAAATAAGTGGGAAATTTTCGAAAATCGGCCATCATCAAGCGTTAACGTTGCTCTACATAGAAGTTTATCTCTTTTTCTCAACAGAAGCCTCATAGCGAAAATTCTTGCTCTTGATAAAACGCCCGGCAGCTCAAGAGGAATACAGTGAGGACTTTTTAAAATCCTCAGATTAGTAATCTGGGAGATAATCGGAAAAGCGTTGCATAATGCATAAAAAAGTTGCTACTAATTTTTCTACTAAATTCCTCAATAAACCGGCTACTCACGATTTTTTGACTTCCGTTCCAAAATTGAGGGAAAAATTCCGAAAATTGCCCATTTTTGATTAAGCGAATTTTGGTGCAATTTTCAATCGGCAGGCCTGGGACTGGACAAAACAATCAATATCGCCGAAAATAAGTGGGAAATTTTCGAAAATCGGCCATCATCAGGCGTTAATGCTGTTCGAAATTCACTTTTTATTTTTTTTCTTAACGTCTGCCGGCGAAAACTGTTGCTCTGGATAAAATGTTCAAAATGCATTGTGAGCGGAAAACCGTCGTTTAGCTCAGGCAATTATGACGGACTTTTACGAAAAGCGATGCTCACATGAGGCTTCGAAAGTGTTTCCGCATAAAGTGGCACTTTCTTTGTCGGCACATTTCTTATCTTTGGCCCCAGTCAGAGCCTTCACTTCAGAGACGCTTTTTCTCGATATAATGCAAAAATCGCTTAAACTAGAACTACTGGACTGAACAATGTAGGCATTTTGCTAATTTGGAATACACTAATTTGCCTCTTTGGGCTCGATATTTCAACTTTGGAATCATTTTTCGGAGATCCATGTGACAGTTAACACGTAAAGAATGCTGCTGGTCACAAGAAATAACGTAAAAAAACGCAGCTGTTCAATTAAGCAAGGAAAGCGTGTGGCTGTGGATTAAAAATTCATAGTCACAAAAGCAAAGTGCATTCATTTTCTCGGAAAAACCGCAATTGGGTAAATTCGAATTTAGTGTGTGCTAAACCAGGTGGAAGCGCCTTAATGTAAAGTACGACGATAATATTCGTATGTGTGTTCCAGCGCTAATTTCCCAACTAGAAATCAATACATCCATTTGATAGTCCTGTTGAACTGAAAAAAACTGCTAAAGCTTCGTGGTAACCAGAATGGTCGATTCGAAAACTGCAAAATCTGGTTACATTTTGTCTAAGTTTCTGCTTTATTTTGATCTTTTTGTAGCTTTCCTAAATGACCCTCTTGCAAGAGGTTTTTCTTTGCCATTTTTACTCTAAGCTGCAATTTAATCGAACCTGCTAAATGGCTTCCAGTGAAATAAGCAGGGCAATTGTGACAATAAAATGGCACACAACACAAAAACCATCGCTCTAAATCCGCTCAGTAGATTTTAAAAACGCAGCAGCTAAATTGTCTTTTCCCATTTCCTACTACGCAAATTTGGGAGATAAAAAAGCAAAAAATCAAAGCTCATGTTTATGCCACACTTTCAAGTTGCTCAATCAACACCAAAACCAGTATACTTAATGTGAAATCACTGACCAATAGGGAGCCCTGGAACAACAAATTGATCTTGTTATTTGGCGCATTTTCTTCACTTCCTTGGAAAACTTTTTAGCAGTTTTAACCGGAGAATTAACGAACACTTACATGACAGTTGTCCTCGTCCCATCTAAACCTACAATTGTAAAAACCGTTGCATTTGAGACTGGCTGATATGCAAGTGGCGTCGTCGCAATCAAATTCGTCTTCTGTGCATTTTCCATTTGGATCATCTGAAAAAGAATCAACATCAGTGGTTAAATTCACCATTGGAAACTAATAGCTTGTTCTTGTAAGATTCTGCACAATGAATCAAGGCCTGGACATTCAAGAAGCTGCTCAATGTATGAGAGATATTCAATTTTCAATTCAACTGAAATTTCGCCTTCTGAGTCAACACTACTCGAATTTCCTCACTCGTATTGCTTTGATCGAGTCGAGTTTTCAATTCTCTATCCAACGATCTCAAAACTGATTCTGTGGCTCAAGTGAGGCTTGAGAAACTTCGAAAAAAGCAGCGTCATGATTTTGAGACTCAAAAAACACTCGCAAATCTAAAACTTTTTGAAATCAAGACTTTTTT